ATGTAATTTTGTTATAGAAATTATTGTATTATCTTAAAATCTATTTTCATACCTAATTAGAAAATTTTAAATTCCAAAAATGATTAAAATCAAGTAGATCTATAAATATATGAAAATCTTGAAAATAGACAGTCTTAATAATGTATTGCAAGATGCACTATTTTCAGGACTCAACAACTTTTTTTTTGTTCATATTCATACATCTCAATGTCGAGATGATCGATTAGAGGGTTTATTCAACATTAAAACAATATTTCCTATAGATTTTTGAGGTGCGTATGTGATTTTCAGAAATTTGGATCAATTGGGATCGACAATCTAACAATCCAACATGAATCTGTTTGACGGACGATGTACCCATGATCCTACTCTAAGCTCTTAAGAGAATTTTTTGACATGAAATATTAGAATCCACTTTAGAATGATTGATGAGGCACTGAGCCTAGACGGTGAGGTTAAGCTCCCAAGTTAACATTAATAAAAAAGAAAAAGAAAAAAGAGTATTTCAAAAGAATAAATTTGAATTCTTAAATACTTAGATCTGACTACTCGAATATTATATGGTCTATATAAGAATCTCAGGTTTTCTATAATGGTAAAAATAATAACTTAAATTATTATATTTAATCATCAAGGTAGCCAACATTGATTTGATATCAATTTTTAAACCATTTCTTATAGTGGATTTGTTCATAATCAATTTTTAAACCATTTTTAAATTTTATTTTTTAATTATTTTCCAACACAGATATGTTTAATAACATATAAGTATTCCTATTTTTGTAGTTGCTCCTATATTAACTTGACTGTTAATAGAGTTTACAGAGACGTGTAACTGAATTAGAGAGATCCTAAATATTCGATATAATTGGAAGTATTTTTTAAGAGAAAAATTTTAAATTTAGAGATAAAAATAATTTTTTTAAATAAATAAGGCAAAAAAGAGTTGGGAAGAAATACCAAAACTAACACTCCTCTTTGTAATCCCCCATTCTTTCTTTTTTTTCTTACTTCCTTCTTTTCTTTTTTCTTTTTTTTCCTTTTTTTTTCTTTTTTTTTGGGTGGGGTGAGTCAGTAGGGTCTAGGTACGGGTCCTACTATACCTGACCCTGTCGGTACCCGGACCCGAAATTTTTAGTTTATCAAAAGGCCAAAGCCCCATTCAATACTTCCCCTAATTCCCAAACAGCCAAAACCCATTGCCATCCTCCCTCTCTCTTTTTTGGAGACATAGCTTCTCTCTCTATAATCGCCCCCCTCTTAAAAATTTGTTTTATGTTGTTCACCATTGTAGGCTACAAAAAATGAAGCTCATAATGAGGGTGGTAATGGACCCGATCAGACTTGGGACCTGAGGAGTACGGGTATGGGTCCAACTTTTAGACCCGACGGGTT